ATGACATAATAAACATTTTTTCCTCAATTACCCTCTCTCTTAATTCTCTACACAACTTAACTTTCACTTCATCTTTTAGCCTTGGATATGATTACAAGGCACTCTTCTTGATATATTCTTGTGTCGACAATGGAAAATTTGAAAAGGTTGGAGAGTGCGACTCAGCGAAGCAAGCATGGGAGATATTGAAGAAATCTTATGAAGGAAGTGATAAAGCAAAGGTTACGAGGTTACAAACTCACAAGAGGTAGTTTGAGTTGGTGAAAATTGAAGAGAATGAGTCGATCAATGACTATGTAACGCGTTTGGTGAATCAAATGAAATCTTGCGGTAAAACTGTTTCAGAGTAGAATGTTGTATCAAAGATCTTACATTCTTTAACGTCAAGATTCAAAAATAATGTGGTTGTAATCGAAAAATCGAAGGAACTTACTACGTTGAGGAAGAAGGAGCTTCAAAGCTCACTTTAGGCTCATGAACAAAGGATGGATGAAAGGGGAAATGAAAAAGCAAATGAGGATATTGCGTTGCAAGTACGGTTCAATGAGAAGAGTAAAAGATCGAAAGGAAAGTGGTCTTCAAAGGGGAAGACAAATTTCTAGAATTTTGGTGGAAAAGATTCATAAAATTAAAAGGCTTTGATGGTGCAAAGAGTTGAGAGCATCTCCAAGTGTAGTGGTCAAAGCAACTATATCAAGAAGTTTGACAAGAGTTGTGTGAAGTGTTACAATTGTCATAGGCTTGGCCATTTCACAAAGGAATGCAATGCAAAATCGAGAGAAAATAAAAAGTAATGAGGCTAAGGTTGCTCTGCAACAGGTGGACGATGATAACACGCTTTTAGTATTAATCACAAAGGAGAATTATGGTAAGGAAAAGCTGTTGGACGGCACCAGTAGCAGCTATCAGTGGCTGGACAGTAGTGTCTGCAGCATGAAAAATGCTGCAAAAACTTGTTCGGAGCAAAACGTAATGGTAATTGTTCGAGATTGAGTCCAAGGCAGTGATGAGTGGTACTTAGATTCTGATTGTTCATTGCATATGACAGGTAGAAAGGATTGGTTTGTCAAAATCAATTAAGCCACAAAGAATAAAGTGAAATTCGTAGATGACACCACTTTAGCGGTTGATGGTGTCAGTGATGTTTTGATCATGAAGAAGGATAATGTTCATTCCTTGATAAAAAGATGTTCTAGACATTCCTGGAATTAAATGTAATCTCTTGAGTATTGGCCAATTACTTGAGAAGTATTATACAATTCGCATGGAAAACAAGATTTTGCACGTTTTGGACCGAAATGGAGTTTTAGTCCTTAAAGCACCCATGGCTTCCAATAATACTTTCAAGATAGAGTTAAAAGTGATGGAACATAGGTGTCTTGCTACAACGACAAGTCGTGATTAGTGGTTGTGGCACTACCATCTTGGACATCTCAATTTTAGAGATTTCGACGCGTTACAAAGGAATGGTATGGTAACCGGGTTGCCTAAAATCAATGTTCCAGCAGAGATATGTAAAAAGTGTGTTCAAGGTAAGCAACACAATTTTAGTTTCAGCAAGGATACAGGTCATAGGACCAAACATCATCTTGAGGTGGTGTACTTCGATGTGTGTGGTCCAATGTAAGTTGACTCGTATGGTGGAAATAGGTATTTTGTCACATTTATCAGTGATTTTAGTAGGAAGTTATGGGCATACCTAATCAAGAGGAAGGATGGGGTATTTGATGTGTTTAAAAAGTTCAAGTCCATGGTTTAGAGGCCAAGTGGTTACAAAATCAAAATTCTCAAAACGGATGGCAGAGGTGAGTATACCTCGAATGAGTTTGGGAATTATTATAATGATGAGGGTATAGTGCATGAGGTTGTTCCACCTTATACGCCTCAACAAAATGGTGTTGCCGAGAAGAAAAACCGTTTGATAATAAACATGGTTCGTAGCATGTTTATGGGAAAAAGCTTGTCGAAGGAGATATGGAGAGAAGTTGTTTCTACAACCACCTATGTGCTGAATAGGTGCGCTACAAAGAAGCTGGACAAGGTGACTCTGAAAGAGGTATGATCTGGACTTAAACCAAGTTTGAGTCATTCTAAAGTTTTTGGTTCGGTAGCATTTTGACATATTCCGGATCAACTTCTAAAGAAATTGGATGACAAAGGAGAGATGATGTTTCTTGTTGGTTATCATCCTACTGGAGGTTACAAGTTGTTTGATGTGAAAAGCAAGAAAATTCTAATAAGGTGAGATGTGGTAGTGGATGAGATAAGGTTGTTTGACAGAAAAAAATCCATATCAGTTGCGGAAATTGATTTCTTATATGAGGGTAATTAATTTCCTTCACGATTTTTTCATACAGAAGCTATTTGAACTGGTTTTTCAGAAGGGGGAATCGATTACCCTATTTCTAAAAATCGATTTCCACAAGAAAATACAAAAAATATGGATTCTGTAGATCTTGTGCAGCAGCCGGTTGAAATCGAAAGCAATGAATCCAGTAGACAACCAACAAGACAAAGAGGTCTACCTCAGAGACTCCAAGATTTTGAAGTATTCCATAATAATGAGATCAATAATGATGGTGGTCTTATTCACTTTGCGCTTATGGCCGAATTTGAGCCCGTGAGCATGGAAGAGGCATTAAGCGATCCAAAATGGGTCTATGAGATGAAAGAGGAGCTGGAATCTATTGAGAAAAACAATACTTGGGAGTTGGTTGATTTACCGAAACGAAAGAAGTCAATTGGAGTGAGATGGGTCTATAAAGTAAAGGCAAATCCAAAAGGCGAAATTGTCAAGCATGAGGCTCGACTAGTTATGAAGGAATTCTTACAAAGAAAAGGTATAGACTATGATGAGGTGTTTGCACTTGTGGCTAGAATAGAAACCATACGGATGGTTGTTGGTATTGTGAATGGAAACAATTGGTCGATTTATCAAATGGTTGTGAAATCCACATTTTTTAATGGTCCACTTGAGGAGGAAGTTTATGTAGAGCAGCCCTTTGGTTTTGTTGTGATGAATCAAGAGGGAAGAGTCTACAAACTGAAGAAAGCACTTTATGGTTTGAAACAAGCTCATAGATCTTGGAACAAATGCATTGATGGTTTCCTAGTTGAAGTAGGCTTCAAAAAATGTGTTTCTGAATATAGTGCCTATGTGAAGACAGATGCAAGCAAAGATGTGATCATACTTTTTTTATATATGGACGATTTATTGATCACGGGCAGTAATGACGTGAGTATTTCTAAGTTCAAGAGTGAGATTATGGGAGAATTTAAAATGAGTGACCTTGGAATCATGACTTACTTTCTTAGTATAGAGTTTCACAAGTCAAAATTGGGACTGCTCATGCATCAAAGAAAGTATGCTCTTGAGATTTTGAAAAGGTATGATATGGAGCATTGTAATATTGTCAACACACCTGTTGAAGCAAGGTTACAGCTGTCCAAAAGTGATGATGAGCAGAATGTGGATCCAACGCAATATAGGAGGTTGACTGGATCATTATGTTACTTGTGCAATATGCGGCCAGATTTGGCGTTTAGTTTCGGTATTGTGAGTAGATTCATGGAGATACCAAAGTTGTCTCACTTCACAGTAGTTAAGAGGATCCTAAGATACGTCAAAGAAACTCTTGGTTGTGAAGTTCTCTTTCCCGCAACTGATATTGGAAGAAAATGCGAGTTACTCGGTTACACGGATTCCAATTGGTGCAGAGATAATGACAATCGAAAGTCTACGGCTGGTTATGTCTTTATATTCATAGGAGCTCCAATCTCTTGGTATTCTAAAACGAAACATGTGGTGGAACTCTCTTCTTGTGAGATCGAGTATATCATTGCATCGTTATGTGTGTATCAGGCTGTATGACTTGTGAATCTGCTGAAAGAGTTAGGCAGCAAGGTTGAAGAAGTTGTTACACTATTGGTTGATAATGTTTCAGCCATTAATCTTGCAAGGAATCCCATGGCACATAGGAGTAGAAAGCATATCAAGATGACGTTTCATTACTTGAGGGAACTGGTGTGTGCAGGCCAGCTGAGGTTAGGATATTGTCGAAGCGAAGAACAATTTGCGGATTTGTTAACGAAAGGTGTAACAAATGTGGTGTTCAAGAAGCTTGTGCTGAGTTTAGGCACTAAGAACTTGAAGCATTTGAATTAAGGTGGTGTATTGGAAGTTTAAAATAATTCAAATGCAATATGGAAGCTTCGGGAAGCATTACGTCGAAATAACTTATTAAAAAAACACTTCTTAAAAGCTAGTTTAAAGTTTCGAAGAAGAAATCGATTACCCATGTGTTATTTCAGTTTCTAAAATTCAATTTTTAGTTGAGGAAATCGATTACGCCCTTTGGAGAAAATGATTTCCTCCCCGTGTTTTTGAATTTTTTGTTGTTTTATGCTTGTTCCAAAAAAAAAAAATTTGTAAACTTTTTATCACATCATTAGTTACGACACACAATCAACCGCAATGAAGCTTTTTTTCCACATGTAGTGATAGATCCTTTAGATGGAAGCAGACTTTCAAGCTTTTTCCAGATGGTAAATTACTTAAAACCATTTTGATATCTTTTTACACATATAACACCCAACAGGTAATAATTTTTTTCTTTTACATCTTGGTATCTTCAAAACCAAAATTGCATAACATTGTTCTATACTTCAATCGGCCAATATGGTCAAATTCAAAAACTAGCAATCATCATTTGAATTCTATTCTAATTGAAAGAGATATTTGATCCAAGTAATGAAAAATTTCAAAGAAACAACTAAATCAAACTAATCTAAATATCATCCTCAACTATACATGAAAACAATGTTTTACCAATTTCATGACCTCTCAGCACGAGTTCTGGATTACTAAGATCCCTTTCTCTTAAAAATCAGAGTGCGAAAGAAGGAAAAAAAAACAATCAAAGCAATTCATTACAAACTTAACATGATCATGATGAATTAGCTTTGAAACATTACACTAACTATTCTCATAAACCAACATTTCATGGATGCAATCTCTTTTTTCCACAAAGAGGAACACCAAAGAGCTTCACGTAAGAACCATTACAATCCTTAACAACATCACTCTCATTTGGTAACTGAGATACCGATGAATCCAACTCAACAAGCTTCAAAATAGCAGCATTATTATTGGTTCTTTGTTCAAAGGATGATGCAGGAGTCACATGGTTTTGAATGAAATATATGATATCATTGTAGAGATTCTTCATGTGAGTGAGTTCTGATAATAGCATTAGATTCTTTCTTCTTAGTCTTTGATTGTCCTCGGAGAGTGCTATTAAGATATCAGTGTTTGGTTTAGGAGATTGTTGTGGTAATTGAGTGTTGTCAATCCAACAGATGGTTTCGTCTTGTTGGAGAATCTGTGGTGATTGTTCGTAGTATTGTTGTTGATAGTTTTGAGATGTTTTTCTTCTGTGGATTTCGCATAATAGATGTTTTTCTCCTTTTTTGAAGTATTCGTTTGCAAACTCCCATCTATCAGCAACCACTTTCTTGAAACCCTGCAAGAAGAGAAATTTAAGAGCTTCTTTTAAGCTTATATATATAAAACAGAAACAATGAAGAAAGATAGAGAAGATAGAAGTTAGATGTTAGAGTTTAGAGATACTCACATAGGTATTTAGTTGCCTAACAAAGCTTGAGAAGTTGTTGTGTTTGAAAAAGTTGGGAAGAAGATCTCTAGCAAACTCTGGAGGTCTCCAAACAACAAATGTAGATTCATCTTCACTCCAAGAGACAATGTGGTCAGTGAGAGGATCATCAACAAGTTGGTATGTTTTTGTTAAGAAGGGAGCAGGTACTGTTTTTTGAGAATCCATGGTGAAGATCATGTTGTTATCTTCACATCTTTCTAGTGTGAAAGACATCACTAAAACCAAAGAGTTATAGTGCTTCTTCAAGTTTTATGCTTTGCTGTACTCTCTCCTAATGTACCACCAAGTTTTAAAACCCTATCTCATTCTCTTTATGTTGTGATAGCTACTCTCATTCAAAAGAGTACGGATTAAAAAAATGTATATAAAGAACTCTCGAGATTGTCTAGAAGAGTTTACTCAACGGGCAATTATTAATATGGTTAATGATGAAATATTAAAATAGATTAGAATAAGTTTTATTAAATTTAATATTTAAATATAATTTAAGTTGTGTTAGTTTAAATTTAATTAGAGCTGTATAATTTTTATTTTGTACAATTTTTATTTTGTACAATTTCTTAAATAGATAATACAATCCTTTATTTCTTTTATTATTCTCTCTTTCTCTCTTCACTAAAAGTGTTTCACGCACTAACAAATTGGTATTCAGAGCTTCTGGTTATTGTTCTTGATCGAGTTTTCAAGAACTTCATGTCACATATCGTGTTTTCAGGGCAAGTGAGTCAACCGCTGCGAAGATGGCTAGTGATAAGGGTATTCTGAATTCTCTTCTAATGCTTGACGGCAAAAATTGGATCCGATGAAAAAATAGATGCAATCTTTGTTTGGCTTCCATAAAACCCTAGAAGTGGTTACCGACGGCGTTCCTGCGTTGGCTGCAAATGAAATCAATGAACAAAAAAAACCCACACAAAGTCAAGGAGAAAGATTGCAAGGCTTTTTATTGCATTCAGACAACGGTCGACGCTGTTAACTTCGACAGGATTTCTCATGTTGAAACTACGAAGGATACATGAGATATTCTGGTGAAGTATTACCAAGGAGGTGAGAAGGTCAAGGTTGTCAAGTTACAAACTTTGCATCGACAATATGAGTTATTATCAATGGGAGAAGACGAAAGAGTTGCAGAATATGTGTTAAAGTTTCAGAAACTCATCCATCTCATGAAGGATTGTGGTGAAACCATAACTGATAAGATGATAGTTGAAAAGGTAAACAGAATGTTAACTTTTCCCTTTGATCACGTTATCGTAGCTATTCAAGAATCCAACAAACTTGAAACCCTAAAACTAGAATATTTGGTTGGTTTGTTAGAGGCACATGAGATGAAGATTGTCGAAAGAAAGGGAGTTCAGGACTTGATACAAGCTCAATCGTGGAAAAGGAATGGTGGTTCCAACAAGTTCAAAGGCAATGTCGACTAGACTCATGGAAAAAAGTCATGGTCGAACTCTCACAAGTATCAGGTCGAAGACAGAACTTCTGAATCCTCGAAAAGAGAAGGAGGAAATTATCGAAAGGACAAAGAAGAAAAAAAGGTATGCAATGTTATAATTGTGAACATTGGGGTCACATAGCCAAGAATTGTTGGTATAGAAAAGACAAAGGGTCGATAGGAAATGACGAAGGAGCGAACCTTACACGCCAAGATTCAGATGATTCTAAAGGGGGTATGGTGGTTATGGTTGCAGTTGCAGATAACCATATCGAATCTAAGATCTGGTTTTTCGACTCAGGCTGCTTGAATCACATGACTGGTCGAAAAGAGTGGTTGGCAGATGGAGTTTTAAAATTCTTCGACACCAAGAAGAATTGGGTCTTAAAATCTCCTTTGTCGAAGAACAGGACGTTTAAGACCATGATCAGTTTGACTGAAGTACAATGTATCAAAAAATTTATCGGCCACAAGGATAGTTGGTTGTGGCATTTGAGGTTTGGATATTTGAATATTCGATCACTCAATCAGCTGATTACTCAAGATATGGTATCTGGTATCCCAAGTCTTGAGATACTAGAAAAACTTTGTGAAGGTTTTTTAGTTGGAAAGCAATACAAAAATTCTTTTGTTTCGACTATGCCAATGAGACCATCATGCATACTCGAAGTGGTACATTAGGATGTATGTGGTCCATTCGAAGAACATACCATTGGTGGATACAAATATTTTATTTTATTTGTCGATGAGTTTAGTCAAAAGTTGTGGATCTATGTGATCAAGATAAAAGACGAAGTAGCTGAAATCTTTAAGAGATTCAAGATGCTTGTCGAAAACCAAAGTGAAAAGAGGATCAAAGTTCTGAGAACAGATGGAGGTGGCGAATACACTTCAAAGATGTATGAAAATTTTTGTGCAAAACATGGTGTTGATCATGAGGTAACTGCTTCTTATACGCCTCAACATAATGAAATTGCAGAAAGAAGAAACAGAACCATATTGGATATGGTGAGATGCATGTTAAAGCAAAAGAATTTGCCAAAATCTTTATGGGGTGAAGCTGTTTCGACTGCAGTTTATATCCTGAATAGGTATCCTACCAAGATATTGAAGAATAAGGTTTCTGAAGAAGTATGAAGTGACAAAGGACCACCAGTGAGTCATTTGAATGTGTTTGGTTGTATGTGTTACAAGCATGTTCCTGATGCGAGAAGAAGGAAGCTTGATGACAAGAGCGAACATATGATTCTGGTAGGATATCACAAGACTGGTGCATACAAGTTATTCAATCCAATTAATGAGAAGATTGTGTAAAGTCAAGATATTGTGATTGATGAAAGTTTTGTATGGGATTAGAATTCTATTAATTTAATTAACAAGCCATTGATGAGCTCTGATTTTGATGAAGAAACTGGTGAAGTCGAAGGAATTGCTGAGAATCCAGTCAAAGTTGAAATAGAAGCAATTGCTGACATTCTAGAAACAGTCGAAGTTTAAGAGGTTATGGCTGAAACAAACCAAAGACCTGAAATAAATAGAGTTCTTCCATCAAGACTTCATGATTATAAGATAGTAGGTGATGATGAAGTTACACCAGATGGAGAATTAATTCATTTTACTTTACTTGCAGGTGCTAAACCAATCAACCATAACGAAGCTTTGAAGATTAAACAGTTAAAGTTAGCCATGATCGAAGAGTTACAGGTAATTGAAAGAAACAATACATGGGAGTTAGTTGAATTACCAGCACATACAAAAGCTATCAAAGTGAAGTGGGTGTTCAAGTTGAAACACAATGTTGATGGGTTGATAGCAAGACATAAAGCAAGATTAGTAGCTCGAGGATTTCTTCAACGAGAAGGACTTGACTACTCTGAAGTATTTGCTCCAGTAGGAAGATTGAAGATTGTTCGACTAGTGGTAGCATTGGCATGCAATCAAGGTTGGTCGACATTTTATTTAGATGTGAAATCATCATTTCTGAATGATCTTTTAGATAAAGAGGTCTATGTCACACAACCTCCAGAGTTTGTGATTCAGAAGGAAGCGATTAAAGTATATAAGTTGCACAAAGAGATTTATGGCCTCAAGCAGGCACCTAGGGCATGGAACAAGAAGATCGAATCATACTTAGTCGAATTTGGATTTGTCAAATGTAAATCTGAGTATGGTGTATATGTTCAGGTTATAGCACAAGATATAACAATCATCTGCTTATATGTTGATGACTTGCTAGTAACTGGAAACAATTTGGAGAACTTGTCGAAATTCAAAGAGCTGATGATGAACGAATTTGAAATGTCGCATCAAGGGAAATTATATTATTTCCTAGGCATAGAATTTTAAATATCGAAGCAAGGTATAGTGCTACATCAAAGAAAGTATGTCAAAAAGATACTCAAGAGATTCATAATGGATGATTTGAATCCTGCATCCTCACCCTTCGAACCAAATGTGAAGTTGGAGAAGAATGGAGAGAAAGACAAAGTCGATGTAACGTTGTTCAAGAAAATCATGTGATATCTGAGATATGTGTGAAATATTCGAGCAAATATAGGTTTCACTGTCGGATTAGTAAGCATATACATGAGTGAACTAAAAATGTCACATATGAAGGCTGCAAGAAGAATCCTGAGATATTTGAAAGGTTTGATAGATTGTGGAATACTAGTTCGACGAGATTCTGAAGACAAAGAAGTAATATCTAATTGCTTTTCAAATGCTGATTAGTATGGAGATAAGGAAGATCGATGAAGCACAACTGGATACTTATTTCACGTATTTGGTGCCCCAATCTCACGGTGTTAAAAGAAGCAATGTGTGGTGGCATTGTCATCGTATGAAGCTGAATACATAGCAGAATCCTATGTTGCATGTCAAGAAATTTAGATCAGATATGTACTTGAAGAAATTGAGGTCGAAATGAAGAAACCTCTAGTGTTTCAAATCGACAACAAGTCAGCCATAAATCTGGCAAAGAATCCAATTCTGCATGGAAGAAGTAAACATATCGACGCTAGATTTTACTTCTTGAGAGAAAAGGTAAATTGAAGTGAACTTGAAGTTAGTCATTGCTCAAGTGAAGAACAATTGGCCGACATTGTCACCAAAAGATTAAAGATCGATAAGTTCTTAAATTTGAGAAAGAAATTAGGAATAGTTCAGATCGACTGTGACTAGCGTAGATTCGACAACTTGGATTATGGGGGCATGTTGAAATATTAAAATAGATTTGATTAGATTTAATATTTAAATATGATTCAAGTTGTGTTATCCCAAGTCCGATTAGGGTTGTATATAAATAGTCATAGTATGTATTCTTATTTTGTACAATTCATTAAGTAAATAATAGAATCCTTAAATTCTGTATTATTCTCTCTTTCTCTCATCACTAAAAGTGTCTCACGCACTAATAGTTAGAGCAATTTATTAGTTGTATATGTGAATTTCTGGTAGTTATTATCACCTTATCTACATATCTAAAAGAAAAAGATTTAATTATAGAATTCTATTGATCTAAAAAAATGAGATTTAATCGCGTACTTCAACTAATTGTGTCTAGTATTATTCAAATTTAGGGTTAGTCTAATTTACATGATTATATTTAATGTAGGGGTGGAAAACGATTATATTTGTCCCGTTTAAATCCGCTGCATAAAAGTCTGAAAAAATAGAGTGGAGTGGAGCAGGCTTTATTTAGGAGGCGGGCCTAAAACCTTATATCGCCCCGTAAAAAAGTGAGTGGGGAGTAGGGGCGGGGCAGACATGTGGGCAA